AAAACGCACATAAGGTGCGAATAAGTGCAGACGTCAACAACTTTAGTTTTAGCAAAATCTGCCACCGCAACAAACACCTTGCTTTATCTAAGGATATTGAAGCTTCGCAGTCAAATAGTGTTGGATAGGATGAAATATGCTCTAGTTAAACATATCCGAATTTTGCGCGATTTCGTCCACTAAGAAAAAAGTTATGAACGAAAAAGCGTCAAAGCATTTCACCGAAGACTTTTGAGCGCTACTGTACGTCTGCCGAACCGGTTTTCGAGCCTCTCTTACGCTCTGTGAAGACCGTTTCCGGCCCGGTAATGTTCCGTTACTGTTTTTGGAGTCCAGAGGTTCAGGGGAAAATCCAGAAGTCCTAGTTACCCCCCTACCGTGCCTTTTAAGCGATATCGATCCGTCCACTGATTTGAAGCGATGAACTTCGATTGGTTGAGGCGACGAACTTCGATTGGACCATGCATATGATTGAGAGCATTGCAAATTTCCAGTCCTACCTACATACCGGGTATCCTGTTTTTGGGCTCCAGAACATTTCATGCGTCTGAGCCATAGGAAAGGTTTTTTTTCGAGAGCCAGTCAATATCAAGACCCTAATAACTGCCTTAAATGCTATCTACTCAATGAATCTTAAAAATTTCAGGGCTCCATGAATCAGAACTTATAGAAGACATGCTACCACCAATTCATATTGTTATAGAAGGGTAATTCAGCAAGCGAAAGAATGTATAGACGGTTATTATTTGGAAGTGTCGGTTATTTTTGGAAAAAGTTCCATGTAATAAATATTTGTTTTTGTTGTTATTTACTGTAAAGTTACGGTTGTCAGGAACGTGTTAATACTTGTTAGCATTTATGTAAGAAAATCGTTAGCTTTGCTGAATGCCTGGGAACTCTTGTCAGTTCCTGTCATGACGTGTTAAAATCGTGTTGGATAAACTCTAAAGTGCAGTACGCCAGGCAGGGAATTTTGAATTTGCGCGGCAAACTCGAATTTCTATCTTTTTTATTGCAATTTTTTTCTAAATTTGGTTCCTATTGTTGAGTTAGATATGCCATTGAAACCCTCAACTCTTCAAGTTCTACAAAACACTCGAAAATGGGTAGTTTTGACTTTAAACCAATCGCGGTTTTGTAGAGCTAATTCGTCTTGAATAGGGAGGACATTCATGCAATCGATGAATGTTCCCTTCAATGCTCTGGAAGAGCTTTGGGATTGGCATGGTTCAGGTTAAGCTCTTTCGCTGTTGTATGGTCCCCAATATCGGTACAGGACAGACCCTAGTGGTTTGGCCACCTTCTATTTCGTCAGCAGAACAATCTTTACGGGGAGGCATTGGATTCTTCGAGCAAATGCCATTCATTGATACATATACAATCCCGAGCTTCACGAGAGAAATAGCAGAAATAAATCATAGGTGAAAATGAAGGAAGGGTGG